TAGGTAAGAAGAGGGCAGAAATGGGTTACAAATGGGTAAAGATGGCTTAAAACGGGTTAGAAGTGGGCAAATACAGGACAGAAATGGCCATAAATTGTTCAGAAATAGCCAAAAAAAAAGCTTTAAATGGGTTAGAAATGGGAAAGTGGGTTAGAAATAGCAAAAAATGGCTTAAAACTGGTGAGAAATGGGCAAAAATGGGATAGAAATGGCCATAAATTGTTTAGAAACAGACAAAAATGGATTAAAATAGAATAAAAATGGGGGGAAATGGCTTAGAAACAGGGAAAATGGCTTCAAACAGGTAAGAAATGGGCAAAAATGTGCTTGAACTGTCAAAAATTGAGTTAGAAATGAAGAAAAATGGTTTAGAAATGGCCAAAATGACTTAAAACAGGTTAGAATTGGACATAAAAGGGTTACAAATGGCTAAAAATGGCATAAATTGGGTTAGAAGTGGCCCAAAATGGGTTAGAAATGGTCAAAAATGGCTTCAAACTGGGGACAAATGGGCAAAAATGAGTTAGAAAAAAAGTGGGTTAAACCAAGTTAGAAATGGGCCAAAAAAGAGGTGGAAATTGAAAAAAATGGCTTTAAATGGGACAGAAGTGGAGAAAATCGGGTCAGAAGCGGCAAAAAGACTTCAGAAATAGCAAATAAAAGCTTACAACGGTTTAGAAGTAGGCACAAATACACTAGAAATAGCCAAAAAGGGTTAAAATGGGTTAGAATTTGGGAAAAATGGGTTGGAAATGGCCAAAACCAGTTTCAAAATACAAAAAAAAAAAACCAAAAACACAAACAAACCATTAAAATGGGCTAGAAATGGGGAAAAATGTGCATAAAATGGCATAACTGGGTTAGAAGTGGCCAACATTGGGTTAGAAACTGGAAAAAAAGGTTCAAAACGGGTTAGAAATAGCCAAAAAAAATGGCTTAAACTCGTAAGAAATGGGCAAAAATGGGATAGAAATGGCCATAAATGGCTCCTTCGCTCCTTTCCCTCCTTCCTTTTTTCCCCTCCCTCCTTCCCTCCCTCTCCTTTCTCCAAAACCCGAGGAAAGCTGCCCCCAGCAGCAGCTATCACTTCTATATAAAAAGACACATCAGGGGTTTTGGTGTCATTTTCCCTATCTCCCACCTATGTCTGCCAGAATTAACACAACCTGTTTTTGGAGGGAGAAATTTTAATTTTTATTAAAATAATTTTTATATACATTTTCTTTGTGACTCATATTGGTTTTAATAAGCAGCACGGTTTTAGGAGTCACAAACGATATGTCTCCCGTGTTACCTCTGAGACAGGCTTCCACAAGAAGTTACTGCTGGTAGCACTGTAGCTGCGCAGGACGGGGCGCAGGAGGGGTTAAAGCTGGGAAATGGCACACTGGTGCTGGCAGCTTCCTGTTCAATTCTTTTAATTGGGCAGGCCAGAAAATGCTGTGGTTGTGCTAAATGCACTCTCCCTTAAACCCAGATATCCAGCAGATACGGATGTTGCACTACTCTCTTGCCAGCAGCCAAACTCCTGCACACTCAGGGCGAGGAAGGGATGTACATTTTTGTCCCTGCACTACATAGGTTTTTCCCCTCTGCCCGTGGCCCTGGCTGCTCTGAAGAAGCTGTGCTTCCTCAGATGCTCCCATATTGTAGGGTTAAAAATAAAAAAGGGTCAAGAAGGGAACCTGCCCTCTTTCTTAGCATGTAACTTTGCTCAAGTAAGGGCTGTTGCAGCATCTGAAATTGAGCCTGTACAGCCAAAGGGAAGGAAACTTATTCTGAAATTCTGATAAAGAAATATTTTAAGTCCAGTTAATTGAAGCCTGACTGGAATAATTCCTAGGCCTCAGTTACCAGTAATCTGCAAAAGTCATGTGTAGCTTATTTTTCTATTGGTTAAATGTCACCTAAATCAAACTCCAGAACCTAGTATTTGGAAATGGATTTCTCCTTAAATATGCAGCTACGCCTTACTGTCACTCACTCATTTCTTTACTGACCCATCATCAGTCAATCTGCGCAGTCTTCAGTTTGACTTATTCTGAAGTTAAAGAGAAGTAAACGCACTTTCCTGAGAATACCGCTGCTTTAGTGGAATCTCTCAAAATCGGCCTGCGGCTGAGACACTGTAAAATTCCTGCCACTTTTAGAAGAAACTCTATGCCTTTTTGCTAACCAAAAAGGGCCAAGCTGCTATTTAATTGATATATCATTACATCTGGCAGACACGTAAGAGAGTTTTACATAAACCTCAGAGTTCACAGCTTTTAAGCCTCTCCAGAACTTTCACTCGCTTCCATCATAGACTCGAGCACTGTGTGCTGAGTCTGGCTCATCTCACTCGGAGGTGAATCAAGTAGCTACTCACATTATTAAAATGGCTTTTTTCATAGACTCACAGAACAGTTTGGGTTGGAAGGGATGTTAAAGATTATCTAATTCCAACCCCCTACCACAGGCAGGGACAATTTCATCCAAGTTCTTCAAACTACCCCAAAACCAGTATCTCACTGCACAGCTAAAACACACATAGGAACATATTACAGACCTGAAGTTGTAACTCTGAGAGAGATACTAACTCAGGAGAAATCTGTCAGCAGGAAAACATTGTCAGATGCCTATTAACTGAAATAATGTCCTATATAATGTTTACTAAGTTGAAGCCATAGTGGGATCCATTACCATAGTTCTTCTCCTCTGTATGTCCTTTACAGAGTGTGTAAGTGTAAGCAATTTTCTCAGGACTGGGATTTCATGAAGCATCCACTCCGAAGTTAGGATTCATGTAATGGAGAAGCAGTTGTCCCATTGCCCCCGAAGGCTCCACTCCCCATTTCCTGCTCCTTCCTTTCTGAATGCCCTTTGGACAGTGGCTTCCTCACGTTTTTTCCCCATTAGAAAACTAAATGGGAAAAGAAAGAAGCAGCAAAGAGCTGGTATCAAACACTAGCTTCTGGTTTGCTTCCTGCAGAGCCGCGAGCTTCCTGACAGTGACAAGGGCATAAAGGGTGTCTAATACTTACTTTTTAAAAGGCAGAAGGTGAGGGGAAAAAAAACAAACTGTCTTTACAATTCTGTTTCATAAAGCACTAAAGATTTTTCAGAGGAAACACTGATGCAACATCTTTCCTTCCTGAGCAGCTATTTCCATGCAGAAGTGTTCTGTTGAGATCAAGGGATTAATTTAACTCTCCTGTGGAGGCAGTGCTCTCACAGGAGAATGAATAATTGGTACATAAACTCTGAAAATCCTGAAAGATACAGCAAGGCCGTGAGAGGCCCGAGGAAGCCTAAACAAGCAAGATACGAAGCAGCTGGATTTCACCGAGTTAATGAGAACTGTGGACTGTTGGCAAGCTTTGGAGGTCAAGTTCCCACACCTGTGCTTAACCAATTACATGCTAGTTGCAAAGGGTCTTCAAGACATGCATCCAATCATAATATGCCAAATCACTGTAAGTGCATGCAAGAAATAGTATTTAAGGGGTTAAGGCTTTGTAATAAACGGCTTCTCGTCTGATCGTATTGATCTCTGACCGAGTCCATATATATTCTGCGGCACTCTCCCAACTCAGAATTTAAACCAGAGACAAGCAAAGCAAGCCGTTCAGCAGGTATCCCAGGGAAGGTGTGCTTACAGCTGCCTCCCAGACCTCTCAGTCTCCTCTCTACTGGCACTGGGTAAACACCAGAAAACCCCAAAAGTCCTTTCCAACCCAAATCATTCTATAATTCTATGAAATCCCCGCCCAGCCCTCCCCCCCGCCCCCCCTTGCAGACCCAGAATCAGGGGTTTTGGAGTATTTTTGGGCCAACACAGCGGCTCCAGCTCCACAAGCACAGCCCATCATTGAAAGTCATTTGGGGGGAATCAGCCCTAAATCAAGCTGTTACCCTCCTTTTTTTGGAGGGGCCTCCATCCTCTACTCATCTGCTCCTCTGCCGAATCATCAGCCCCCACAGTGACACTGGGGTGCCCCAAATGACACCATCCATCCCCAGATTCCCACACATCACCCTTTTTATTCTACCACCCAAAAAACACTTGCAAAAAATGAAAAAAAAAAGTCCCGAGGAGCAGCTCGCTACTTCATTACTTTCATAACTGCGGTTTACACAGGTACATGCACCCCTAAGAAACGGGGGGGCTCTGCTCGAAAGAAACAACAGGGACAGCACCCACAGCCCCTGTCCCACAGGTTATGGGGGATGGTACCATGGCTCTTGCTCAGGTTCTGCTCTGTGACATTCCCCCTCCACTCCCATGCTGGGGTGGGCACCTCAGTGCACAATGTCCCCAGTCCCTGTGGGCTGGGGGGTATCTGTTAAGCAACACAAAATGCCTGCAACAAGTCACCTGAAAAACAGAAATCCCAAATGATGTTTCAGAATGTTAAAAAAAGAAAAAGCACAGAAGAACATACACAGATGCAATCAAAGGGAGATGATATAACAATAGGTGAGGTGAGAGACCCCCACATGGTTTTACTTGGCAGGAGGAGTGGGAAGGAAGGAGATCAAATCCCCAGCAGTGCAATGCATCAGGCTGCTAAAAAGGACTGGTAGATTTGGCAATGCTTTTGGCTGTCCCAAAGCACGCAGAGAGGAGCAGGTTTTTATGCTGTCTCAACAGTTAAAACTGAAAACCGCAAAATCAAGTGATGCCATCAACTTCTGGGAGTTGCACTATGCTTGTGTCTTTGGAAGGAAATGGACCTTCTTTCTTTGTAGAAGGTGAAAAGTCCTCTTGCTGATGAGTTTACTACCTAGAATAGCAAGAAGGGACGCGAGGTACAGCAGAACGGATGTGAGGTACAGCAGAAGGGATCTGAAGATCCCCTCTGATGGAGAGTTCCACAAATGCAATTTCTTCGAGAAAGTTTTCTCTTTCAGAAACCTCTTTCCAACTGAAGTAAAAATTCACACATCGTAGGGTAAGGAAAAAGGACACCACTGAAGCAACAACTCACCAAAAAACATATCCAGAGTCATCATCCCTGCTCACAAGGCTGCCAGTGCTTCTCCGGAAAGCCTGGAAAACACACAGAAGCAATACCAATTTAACCCCTTGGGTGCATGGCTCCTCTGCAACCTTGGTTGCTTCCAGTACAGACACTAGTGCCTTAGAGCAAGGTTCGCACGTACTACTGCAAGCTCTTTTAAAAGCGTTATGTACTGACAAAGCAGAAAACTTTGATTGTAGATGATGTCAACTGCTTTGTCCCTATCCTGTAGCTCCAGCAAATTGGTCAGGCAGGATTTTCCCTTACTGAAGCCATGTTTGCTGTCACCAACCACCTTGTTTTTAATGTGCCTTAGCATGCTTTCCAGGAGAATCTGCTCCATAATCCTGCAAGGCACACAGGTGAGACTGACTGCTCTGTACTTTCTGAATGAGAGAAACAATGCGCCAGCAGCTGGAGTCCAGCACAGACCATAAGGACCAGCTAGTGCCCACAGCAGGAGCAAGCAAGGGGTGTCTGCCAGTGTGTGGTCACTAGCCAATGCACAGCCCGCTCAGCCCAGGCCTAGCTCGAGTGGCTTGTGATCCTGGCACTTGTGTATGAATGGCGAGCACTGAAGGAGCTGTCACAGACCAGGACATTTGTTTGCACAGGTCTGTGTCTCTGTGTGGGGAGAAGGCGGGGAGGGCAAGACTCCAGTGCCAGGTACTGGGTGGACAGACCGCGTGTCTAAGCACTGTTGCCTGAAGGATCCACAGCAAGAGGGGAGTATCAGTATCCAGAGTGGGACTGTGAGCCTTGGGCTTGTGTGCCCAGGTGCCAGCAGCTGGGGAAACCTGGGGACCAGCTACTGGGTAAACTGTGTCTCAGGCCAGCTGCCAGTGGGTTGACACCATGTGTGTGAAGCAGGGGGTGCTGGACACCCAAGCTATGAGACAGACTGAGTGTCTAAGCCCAGCTGCTGGAGGGACTCGCCCCCTATATATGCTAACAGGCCTTCATCCTGATCAGCCAGAGATGGGAACAGGATGAGGCCATTAGTGCTATTTGTATTTTTATGAGCGCTGAATGTTGCTTCCTGTGTTGGTCTGTGTGGCTTGCCAAATGTTCTCCAGCCCCATCACTAGCTAGACCCAGAGGCATGGAGTTGCAGCAGCTTGCATGATAGATTTTATGTGCTGCTTCTATTAACCCTCTTGTATTTCACATACAAATTCTTAAACCGTAGACATGAGTGGCACATAAAGCCTTTCCACCAAAGCACTGCATTAACCACTAGCTTTCTTCTCCTGCAGGCATTCAGCCCACCAGTTCTGGGCAGACAGACCTCATTCTTTTATGTGACTACCTTTTAGTAGGTAATGTGAATTTTCAGCCTGCTTCCACCATGACCACCTTAACGCTATGGTGATGCACGGGTTAAATGTGACTCAGAATATTAGTGTCTGCACGTTGCTGGCTCCATGCAGAACACAGCTGACCTGCTTACAAGAACCAGGGTTTTCTTAATACTCTAACTTAGCCCTACAAAGAATCCTTTCCTCTTCTTTCATCTGCCTTTAGTTCCCACAGGCCTCCATTATGAAGGTTTCAATCGAATGCTGTTGACATATACTTGAATTCAAATATTTGTGCTATTCATACTGAAATGCTCATTCAGCTAACTGCTTGGCTGTATCAGGGTTCTTTTGATCAAACTGAATAAAAGACATTACCAGGTATTCTGCATAGCCCCAGGTCATACAAAGGAATTCACCAGCACAGGGACCACATGCATCATACAGTGTACATCCTGTCGACGGTCCCAGCAGATAGAAGGAAATATTCTGCCAGGGCAGGTCTTTGTCTGACTTTAGAAGCTTTTAAGGGCACTGTTTAAGTGGAAGGCAGAGAGAGGTAGGTAAGTGTATCCAAGTAAGATGATTCTTGTGATCCAGAGAGTGAAGTACAGGCTACACACAAACACATTACTCTTTCATTGTGAATGTTTGACTTTTGTCCTCTTTCCTGAGGACTGTAGATAAATTTGGTGTTCTCTTTAACTCTCATTACCCTCCTCAGTGATAGCTCAGTGACAGGAACCCCACTGTCCTTCTCAGACTCTTTGCTATGCCTGAGCAATGCATTATGCTAGAGCCTGCTGATATTACACTTTGGCTGCTTTTCTGGCCAGAGTAATGCAGAAAGAGATTCTGCTTGCTCGCCTTTCCGCCCCACGGTTGCACATGTCTTTTGATTCTTCTTGTGCTGTTACTCCAGTATCCACGCTTTATAAGTCACTCACCTTCCTGGCACCTTCAGCCACGCCTGTTACATGCCACTCTTCCCACTGTAAAAGTCACCTTTTGGTGCAAAGCCTTTTTGCTGTGTACGGTTCCCTTCCAGCTCCAAAAGTCACATTACATCAAAAGAGGGCACTCTGGCACCAGGGTCGCAAACCTGCATGGGTGATGTTAGTACAACAAATGGTCTGGAGTTGAAGAGCTCTGATCAATAACTGTTCATCAGTGGGTAGTTAATTCTCTGGTTTAGCAACTGTCTGCCTATGTTAAGAAGCCTTCTTGATAAATGCATGGCAAAGACATGCTCCTCAGGGGAGTGTCCTTCCTTCAAGTTGCTTTAAACTGTCTACCACTCAAGCAGAAATTAGCATTTCCATCTGTGGCTAGGACACATTCAGCCTGTCTCATCCTTCTCTGCTGCTTCCTCTGCTTCCTCCTGCTCAGCAGTGCCAGCAGATGGATGGGGAGGACAGCCCAATGAACTCCAACATGGAACTTAAAACTAACCTGTCAGTGAGTGAGGAGTGCCGCTTTTAACCTAACTAATTGCCTGGCCCCACAGTCAGTGTAATGCCACAAAGATGGAAGCACATGACAGCTGTCAAGGAGTGTGCCACTGCTGCCAAGCATGGCATGACAGCATGGTGAAGCCCTGCCTGCGCTCCTCCCTCAACGTGTGTGTGCTGTGGACCTCCAAGGACAGGTCCAGGCTGACCCTGCTGTGCTTTCATCTCTCTTGGGCAACACGAGAGATTTGCTTGAGACCCCCGTGGCCCAGCCCATTGCCTGAGAGCTCTGCTGGCCTTTTACCCTACATACACCTTTTCCTCATTTCTCTCCTTATGTCTGCCCCGTATGTCCAGATTCTGCTGCTACTTTTTATTCCATTCTCACTGAGGAACAATAATGTGTTTGAACTCACTTAGTTCACCCTTACGTTTTTTTCATTGTGATTCTTGCTATTCATACTTAGTGCTTCCTTTGATCTTCCTAAGCCTTCTGCCTGAGCACAGGTACCCATCAGAGATCACATCCGTGTGCCCTACTTCAGACTGTGGCAAATCAGGTTTGGGATCAACATTCAGACTAAGCTCAGTTTTTCACTGAGCCGCTATCAACAGCCACTCAGTTTTACTCCTGGGTTAACCACATACAACTTGCTCTTTTGGGGATCAGGCTCCCCATCTGCTCTTCACAGCTGATACTCCCCAGAATAAAAGGAGCAGAAGCTGAGCCCTTTAGGTGACTCCTACGATGATGGTATTCTGTAGCAAGGGATACATCTTAGAGAGAGAACTCCTGTTCCCTCGTCTCTGCTTCTAGTATTATATTATTTTATTAAATAAACATACAATTTTCTCCTAGAAAGACATGGTGTAATGATTTAAAATGCACATACTTCCTGGAAATGAAGACAGAATTCGACTGGCTATCTCACTTCTTCAGCATATGCTTCAATCACTGGACTAATATGGACCTGGAGGAAAATCCTGTTGGATATTAGCAAAAGCTCAGGTTTAATGGTGTACATTACACTTAGAAAACTCCCTGGACCAGGGTCTCCATGTGTCATAGGGAAACACTGATTACTTAGATAATGACTGGAATTGAGCTAGCTCTTCCTAAGCCACCCACACTGTTCTTAATCTAGCTGACCTAGAACAGAATCAGGACTTCATGGTATGTTCTCATGGCAGAATAAGACAAACCCAGAGCACTAGCATAGCTTTCGGACCCCAGACACTCACACTCCATAAGTGCTAGCACAGTTTTTGGCCCTGCTAAATAGTTTATGAGAGGGCTTACGGTATTTGTAAAACACTGTCATGTCATGTTACCACATTTAATGCTTGCATTGAAAACACAGTAATTTCCTTATAATTATGTAAGGGAAGTGTCCCTATGGAGGTGGGTAAACAGTGGAACAGGGGCCCAGAAAAGTTGTGGGAACTCTGTCCTTGGAGACACCCAAAATGTAAAGGCCCTGGACAAAGCTGTGAGCAAGCTGATGTGACTGTGCCTCCCTTGAGGAGAAGATTACACTAGAGCCCTCCAGAGACCCTGTGCCCATGTGTGTGACTGATTTTTTACTTTGGGGAGTGCTGCAGCCACACAATAAACTATAGCATGCACATGCCCAGCAGACTGGAAATTGCTCTCCAGTCTCTGGAGATTACCATTTCTCCAATGCATTTCAGATATCCTATGACATGAGTTGTAAATGAAAGGAGAGAAAAGAGAGAGAATTAAAGATCAAGGATCAGATGTTAAACCCTGCCTACTCAGTTGCTGGTATTGAACCAGTTTGTAACTGTGCATTCACCATTACCAGCAGACATTCTTTGTGCCAGTGTATCCAGCATGGTCAAACGAGTCTAAGGTGGTTTCTGTTTGACAATACTTAGAACTCAGTAGTTCTTGCAAATAAATCGCACCAGACATAGAGAGGCAAGCCTCCAGCTAGACTTCACATGACCATGAAGTACAGGATGAGATCTTATGTTAGCAATACTAACCAAGCAATGAGGTCAGTATAGGATAATGGGGAAAACTGAACTTTGCTACAACTAAATGTCATGTTGATAAATGCAATTTCGCTGGTTTTTATAAACAAAATTCAACTTAATTTGCTTCACAGCAGCTAATGTGCCGTTAATTCAAAACCCACAAAATAACTCACTGGACACAGTTAATAGTCAGCAGACCACATAGGCCAGGCTTTGAAAGCATTTAATATTCGCTGAAGTGCTGCTTGTATCCAATTATAACTCTCTGCTTGCCATCTTAATAATTTAAATCTGTCCACTCTTTAGAGAGAAAAAAATGCACTAATCAAAGACATGAATGCACCTTTTGCTTTTGACAGCATTAAATTAAAACTAAATGGTAGATCTTGAATGAGTTACTCTGCAAGAAAAAAGGCATTAATGAGGTAATTTCATTATAGAGGCTCATCCAAGCCTATGTGAAAACAAGGGAAGTAAATGGAGAGGAAAGCCGCCGAGGAAATTAGGGTTCCTTCCACACTAATTAATGTTTTGGGGCATTTAGTACAGGCACCAAATTAACTGCTCCAAAGAACTTCACTGAAAAAAAAAAATACATTGTTGCCCTGCCATGTAATTAGAAGACAGTACAAGCAGAACACTTAATGAGGATAAAGCCAGCCTTTAACTTATTCTGCCCAGCTTCTGAAAACATGCCATTGTGAAGGCCTAAGTTTAAGGAAGCACTAAGCGTACAATATAGGATTGTTTAGGTCCTTCTGTTCGATGAGCTGTAAACAGGTAGCCCTGAATGAGAGACTCTGAGACTCCTGGGAGGCCCGGCTTCCCAGAAAGAAAAAGGTCTTAAATGCATCCAGAGAGAAGGAAAGAAGGTGAATAGCCCCGGCACAGCCAGCGCAGTGAATGCTCACCGCTGTCTTAAGTGATTACATGATGTTGTGCCACCCCCTCTCATTGAGTTATCTTTACACTGCTTTTGTCTCCTCTAATTGGAGCTGATGAGGTGCTAATTGGTTGCTTTTTTAAAAAAGCACTGCTTAAGCACTGGCAACCAGAGTGAGCGGAGTTAATGAGGCCTCGGAGAGCAAAACCCCCCAGAAACCCCTGACCAGCCTCAAACCCACCAAACCACTGTGTACACACACACATACAGGCATGCCTTCCTGTTGGTACAAACAAAAACGCGAAGGGAAATGACTGAATGCAAGTACACGGCCGTGAGGATGTGAGTTTGGGAAAAAAAGGGGCAATACCAACAATAAATACATCAACGTCCACTGCTCTGGCTGGCACTCTTGGACCTCAGACTGCTGCCTGTGCCCCACGCTGCCTGCACACCCCACTGCCCACACACCCCGCCAGCCATGGCAGAGGGCTCGAAATAGTTGATCTTAAGGTCCTTTCCAATCCAAACCATTCTATGCCTCTATAAAGGCAGGCGAGTAGGTTGAATTACCCCATCCCTGGCAGTGTTCAAGGCCAGGTTGGACAGGCCTTTGAGCAACCTGGGCTAGTGGAAGGTGTCCCTGGCCTTGGCAGGGGGTTGGAACTAGATGAGCTTTAAGGTCCCTTCTAACCCCAAATATTCTATGATTCTGTGATTTTATGAATCATCTCACCCCATCTTGCTGCTCACAGGCGAGCCGCTTGCTGTGGCCCCCTTCACAGCTCTGAGGAGTGCCAGCATTTTCTGGGTGTGATGGCCAGACCTTGCTACGCCGCCTGCCACCCACTGCAGTGATGTGGCACCACAGCCACGAGGCAGATGACACTGAGGTGGCAGCAATGCCCGACAGCTCTGCCCTGCAGGCTGCACCCTGTGAAAGCACAGCCTCACTGGGCTGGAAAGGTTCAAAGTAATTTCATAAATATCTTTGCTTTTAAATTGGGATACAAGCAACACACATAGCGTAAACACACAGAATCACAGAACTGACTGTTAAATACAGTATTTTGTCCTTTCTGGTTTTGTTTACATGTAGTCACAGAGACATGTGGGAGAGGTTGCCCAACGATAACAAGTTTGTTCTCTCTGTCATGGGCTCAGTACCACCAGGCAATTCTCTAAATCCTTCAAAACTCATCTGCTGAGCAGTTGTGTACTGGAAACTATAAAACCTACAGTCAAAAAACTATAGGAAGATAACGCACCTTTTAAGACAACTCAGATGAACTATTTATGCTGAAGAGGAATGAATTCAGGGCTCCTGCTTTCCTCATTTCTGGTGTCTTGTTGGGCTTTTTTCCTGGTTTGCCTGTGTGTAACTGCAGTTAGAAAAACCAATTAGTTTGCAAACAGCCAGTTTCTTGGGGATGTGTTTATGCTTGGTAATTTGTACCCCTATTCACGTTCTATACCGGATTCTTTTCACTCTAATGCATGGTCACTAGCTTTTCTTTTGGTTGTCATGAGAAAGAGGGATTTCTTGCTGGCTGGTAGAAAGAAACTTCCTAGTGAACAAAGTTACCATTAATTCCTCTAAATGTGTTCCTAGAGCCATCCATCTATAAAACAGGTAACAAAGCAGATCCTGTTGCTTTAAGAAGTCCCAAAAGATACAGAGCTGGAAAAAAGTTTGGATCCCTTAAGGCTAATTAAGCAAATATCTTTTGTTGTTGTTGCCGTTGTTTGATCTTCTTTTGCGATTCATGCACTTAAAAAACCTTCATGAGTTTTCCAAGGCAGGTACAACTGTGCTTGCAGAGATCTGCTGTGCTTGCAGAGATCTGCCTGTCGCCAGTGCTGCCTGCTGTGTTCTCACAGAATGCTTGCAGGAGGTAGTCCCTCGGGTTTCCTTTGTTTCCCATGGGATTAATACCTTCTGGTTTACCACAAGCCAGTGTGACGTGGGTTGTGAAACTGCATGCTGTGCATACCAAGATGTAATCCTTAAACATGTTCTACCCTCCTTCTACTTCCTCCTCCAGTTTACTTTTTGCCTTGCTGCTGCTGATGGGAAAGATGCTTCCCAGGCCTCCTCCCTTCCTAATGAGCATGGCCAATTGTGTACTAATTTAAATAGGAATGACCTTCATTTTCTGAAGGTGAAGGTGATCCTATTCTTAAGGAACAAAGAGGCAGGAAGGCTGGGGTCCTTCCCCAGCTCCTAGTATTCTCACTCCGGCTGAGTGGTGGCTTCTTCCTATGCCTGCTGCTTCATCAGCTGCAGCTTGGGGGCACACGAAGAGGATGAATGCAGCTCTACCAGGCCTAGGGAGTGAGAAAGGTAAACACCCCTTACCTGCGGCCATGGGATGGCATATCTCGTCAGCTGCTGCTAAAGAGGGGACTAAAGGTGCTTTAAACCACCTCCTTTTTTTTGGTAGGTTTGGATCTGGACGCTTTCTCTTCTCCTTCCTAAGTGGTGAGTAGTTTAGTGGTTGCAAAGTGCGTAACAAAGGCATCAGGCAAGGTGCTGCAGTTAGGGCCTGCTCCTTTGGTTTGTGGTGACTGGAAACAAATGGGTGTACTAGTAATGAGGAATGCACTGGACAGCTCAGGGATGATTCCCTTGGAGGGATACTGCATGCACCGTTATTTACAAGCTTGGCACTCTAGAAAAAGCAAGCACTATCTCAGAGAAAGGTGAGAAGTGGCTCTTGTGATACAAGCTCATTTATCTTCACTAGGGTGATTCTAGCTAACAGAGAATAAAAATGAAATGTTAGGAAATGCACATGACCTTCATCCTTTAGGTAATACTGGATGCTAAAAACACGAACTTTGTGGTCCCACACTGAAGCAGTTGCCATGTAGGCTGAAACTGGCTTTGTAGCTTTTAGGATGGTGTGAGTGTGTCTGTGTGTGCGAGTGTCTGGTTTCCCCTGAATACTACATATTTCTTTGATCTATTTCAGGGACCTGTTCTCAATAAAATGAAATTGAAGGGGGCTTCTATCTGGCTAATTATTCCTTCAGGTACCAAAATCAGAGAACCCATTCCTGTTGTCATATAGAAATCACAGCGGAAAAGCATGCAGTGTGCATGCTTGTGTTGAAAACAATCAGGATGGTTCTCCATCCATCAGCTGATGCTTTAGGGATTATTGGGATTATTCCTTACATTGTCCTCCCCATTGAGACTGGCAGTAGTGTTGCATTACACAATGAAGTATCTGAAAACATGCCCAACTGCTCAGGGAAGGCCTATTATCAGAAGGCAGATAAATACGCCAGAGAAATCAAACAGGAAAAAGAAGGGAGGTGAGGTAAAACAAGTGAGAGAAAAGAAGTGTAGCAGGGGCGAGGCTCAAAGTCAGGGGCAGACATCTGGGAAGTGCAAGAGATTGGTCCCATAGCCATAGGAGAGGTAGCAGCAAGAAAACTGGGCATTTCAAGCTGCGCTGTGCTGAGGATCACATGAGCCGTTTCCCCAGAGGCTGCACTCAAGAAGCCAAAGTTTAAAGCCAAGGATGCATCCATGTTTTTCATGGTTCACTTCTGGGTCATTTGATTGAAAAGATTCTACATTTGACAACTTCCAGTGTTCAAAGAGGTTCAGAGGTTTTTAAATCTGTTCAGCTCATCCCTGCTTGAGATAAACATGAATGGGCCAATTGTTCATTTTAATAAAATTTGGCTCAAAAATAGTCATTCAGCACCACAGAAGGGCACGTTAGGAGGAGATCCCTCACTAAAGAGGAAAGTGAGGATGTTCAGTTTTTTAAATGCTTGATAAAATCAGGGAAGAGCTGGCTGAGTGTTGTCACTATGCAGCCCTAGACTAAGTAAAACATAAAAGGAAGGTAAGTATGAGACAGAGGAGGATCACAGATTATCTCAAGTTGGAAGGGACCCACAAGGACCATCACATCCAACTCCCTGCTCCTCAGGAAAACCACCTAATGGCTAAGAGCATTGTCCAGATGCTCCTTGAACTCCGGCAGGCTTGGTGCTGTGACCACTTTCCTGGGGAGCCTGTTCCAGGGACCACTTACCCTCACAGTGAAGAAACTCTTCGTAATGTCCAATTTGAACTTCCCCTGATCTAACTTCACTCCATTTCCTCATGTCCCATTGCTGGTCACCAAAGAGAAATCAGTACCTCCCCCCCTGCCCCCCCAGGGAAGTCGCAGACTTTGATGAGGGCACCCACCAGCTTTCTCTTCTCCAGACTGAACAAATCGAGTGACTTCAGCTGCTCCTTGCTAGCCTTGCCCTCAAGACTTTTCACCATCTTCATCACTCTCCACTGCACACGCTCTAATAGTTGAATGTCCTTATATTGAGACATCTAAAACCGCACAGAGTACACGTATGCGCACAGCTACCATGGGAAGCAGGTTGGGAAGGAAAGAAGAAATACTGAGAGATGATCTATCCTGTCCAGTGCCCAGGCATGCTCAGCAGCACGGAAGATGATCCTAAAGAAGCTTGCGCACAGATGCTACGGCCCTGTCAGGACTCTCTCCACATACTCAAGTAGCTGGAACAAATTAAAAATACCCACTAATATTTTGCACACATTCTCCTTGCCACTATCTCAGGCCGTTACATTTTTCTCTAGACACCTGCGGACACAGAAGGTTAATTCCCTTCTAGTTTGGGTTTGTTTAGGGTTTTTTTTTTTAATCGCTGCTTTGGGAGGTTTTAGAAGTAACTTTTAGGGTTTGAATGGCTGTGCTGAGCTTTCCTTCATCTAATCTCTACCAATGTAAGAAGTCTGCCTCTCCTGACAGGCTGTGTTTTACAGATCTCTCCTCATTCGCACGCTTTCCCTTGGTCACACTTTTCTGTAGCAACAGCATATTTACCACTTGCAAACTTATTTGGGCCAGCCGCTGCCCCAAACTGTCCCACGAAACTGTCATCACCGGTTGTCAGCTCACCTTCTGCACAGCCTGATTTTTCCTGAAAGATCTACAGGGCATATTTGAGAGAGCAGGGTGTCAGAATTCTCCCCAGTTCAAGCAAAGGTGGTCCAACACTGGTAATGATAGGGCAAGGGGTAACGGGTTCAAACTTAACCAGGAAGTTTAGGTTAGATGTAAGGAAGAAGGGTGGTGAGGCACTGGAATGGATTGCCCAAGGAAGTTGTGAATGCTCCCCCACTGGCAGTGTTAAAGGCCAGCTTGGATGGAGTCTTGGGTGACATGGTTTAGTGTGAAGTGTCCCTGCCCATGGCAGGGGGGCTGGAACTAGATGATCTTAAAGTCGTTTCCAACCCTAACTATTGTGCGATTCTGTGATTCTGTGAACACAAACTGTCTTGCTTTTATGGCAAGGCTGCACATAAGAAAGAGGTAAGGTGGCATCAGAAATTGTCCTACTTTATATATCCACAATGGATACACATTTGCGTGCCACAGTTAGAAGTATCTGTATTCCAGGTGCAAGAATGACTGAACTGTCACAGTATATGGTAGGACATTAATGTCATCTGTGTAGCAAGAAGTAGAGAATGCTTGTTTGTTTCAAAGGAAGCTTTGAAAAATGCCTGTGCCATTCTTTTCACTCACAGACCACAAGGGATAGCTATGGTACAAGTGAACTGAGAAAGCATTTAGTATCTGACAGGTCACTTCTACTCTTTGTATTTCTCTATAACGTGCTAGTTCCCAAATGTTTCTTACATCATGCAATGCCTGCATATTAACAGAAAATGTTAACTGATTTGCTTGTTAAAAAGCCTCTTCCACGGCAAATTTTGTATTTTTATAGGCATAAAAGCTGGTAGGAAAGGGAATTTCTGAAATTAAGGGGATTAATTTTAAATTAAACAGAAATCTGATTTTTTTTCTGGAATTAGAAAGAAAAACATTGCTTTGTTTTTGTAAGGTTAAAAATACTAAATTTCTACAATGTTCCTTCATTTGGTTACTAAATGGCATAAAAGTCCTATACATATAGATAAGTTTGTACCAAAATGAAACATACAAAGGTCAAAATATCCTATTTTGAAATTCTACAGTGCTAAAAGATGTTTTGCGATCTACTGAAATAAGTCAGAATATTTTTCCCATCATCCGAACTGTAGCTGCAGATTCCACTTTTAATATATTAACATGTTTTAACAGATCAGTTGTGCTTGCTACACATCATCTGCTTTGATATTTTAGCCATGTCCATGATGTCTGTGTGTCTGCCCTGTCAAACCTCCCATGAGATTAGTTCCCAGAGCCTCCAGCCCTAAGGGAGGGTGTGTCACCTCCTGAACTCCTGGAAGCCTAGTGTCTTGCTTTTCAGTGTGCTAAATCCATCAAGCTGATTTTGCTCTGACAGTGTTACACAGGTAGTAACCTCCGCCAGGACCAACCTCAGGAAGAAATGAACCTCCAGCATAGACCAAATGTGTGAGAAATGGCACCTTACGCAAACACTGACAGCCTCATACTGAGAAGCTGTGAAATCCATGAATGATGACTAAGGTAATTTTAGCTTAAAAAAAATAAACCAAGAAAACAAGTTTTTCGAGCGTCACTGTTTCAGACTTGTCATGACCTCGCTCAGCAGAAGGGTCCCACTGCCCGTAACCTTTGTCTCCAGTATTCGGTGAGAACTAGCTTTGTAGGCATTTGTTTTCTATCATCAAATCATTAAATGGTAATGCAATTGTTAGTTTCATTTCCCCAGTTCAATACATTTTGCAGCCAGTAACCATTCCCAGTTCATTAACTGACTGACCTCAGCATTAACACCCCCTCCGCTAGGGTTGCCTTGGAAACAAAGCTTCCTGTGCGTAATCCAAGCTTATCGAGCTCTTTATCCTACATGTGACCCTTAATTACTTGCTAAATTAGAATGGTTTTCTGAAAATCACAAGAGGAGGTTAATATGTTCTTCCAGAGCTGGTCAAGCTAAGATGACACTAAATTCAGGGGGAATTCAAATTACATGATCCCTGAAGGCGTCTCTTTCAGAGGGAAGATGAACTTTCCCAATGGGAGGCAGTGTGCCATGATAATGCTCCTGTCACTCACTTTCCTTGCCCTGCTTGTCCAGCTACAGCTTATTCCAGTATGAACAATGTGGTAAGTAAATATCAGGTTGATTAATTATGGTGCAAGATTCAGTAACCACTTGTCTTCTGTAATTAACATGTAATTGAAATTAAGTAACACACTTTGTACACAGATTTCTGCACTAGGAGGGGAACAAGGGAGAATCCTCAAGGCTGCGACAGGGAAATTAAGAAAATAATAAGAGGGATCAAAAAATTAATTGTAGCTTTAAAAATGTGGTACATTTTAAGACACTCTCCAGTCAAAAAGAAGAATTACTTTATTACTTTCAACTGTCTTGGAGTGGAGATGAAGTGGGGTTGGTGTGTCCAAATATTGCTTACAATTTCTGAAAACACACATTTCCTCCACTGATTTGAGACACAGAAATAATAAGAAAAGGTGGTACTTTCTAGGATGCCCAGTGCTTTTCCTCTCTCCTGTTTCCAGTGGCACATTACTTAAAGGACAGCGAGTCTTCTGCTTATGTGAGTGGCTTTATGAAGCTGTGCTAAGGCTAAAATGCTATTGCATGATCTCAAAAAAAACCTAAACCCAAACTCCTTGTGTCCCAGCAAGGGAACAGGCCAGGCTGAAGCAACTCCTCAGCAGAGCCAAAAATGGGGCTATTGCAATTTACCTTTCCTCACTGTCTGTGTCTGGCTCAGCCCTCAACACCTCTGGCTCAGTTCTAGCTGGACTTAACCACACAGTCTTAATTTACAGAGGTGCTCTGAGGGTTCTTTCAAAAGCAGCGCTTACAAGTAGCTTACATGTCCTCTGTCTTCTACTGAGAGCACGAGGTAAATTTTGCATGGGTTTTATACTTTTATCTAAAACCACAATCACTCTATTACTCTGTATGTGGGGCACTGTCATATTTCTGGAAACAAGTAGTCTACAGATGTGTCAGTACTTTCTCACTTCTCAATGTGCTCTGGGAAATGCTCTGAATCTCAATCTGCTTTGAAGATGCAGCACTGTTTACTTTGCTACTTTTAAGATTTTCTCTGGTAAGCTTGCAACCCACCTAGGAAATCATACTGGTCCTCCAGGCAAGACGCCAGCGAAGAATGATCCTTCATCAAATGCCACCCAAACAAGTGCAGTCTGTGCCATGTATCTGTGCTGTCTGTGCCTATCTTTGCGGTTCCTCTTCATCCTCCATATTTGCAGGAATGTGCCAGGTCAGGTGTTTAAAATTGCCTTGGGGAAATACCCTTTCTTGTGCAGGGCTCCAGGGAACACAGCTCTGTGTCTGTAAGCTAGTGGAATGCCTGAGTTTCACAAAGCTTACCGGAACAATGTGATTTAATGGTTCTTTTCCATCTGACATACATGGTTCCTCTCTACTGAGCAAGTAGCACACTTGGAGCCTTGCAGATCTATTTTCCCATATATATGTCACAGGGAAGGAGGAGAAAGCAGTTTGAGGCTGGCAGACACACCAGTCCTGTAACACGTAGCAGTCTTCTTTAGGCCCTTCACAAGTTCATGCTTCTGAACATTATCATTAGTTACACGAATCCCAGAGTTCTACTTTCAGGAGATGCCAACACCTATATCATTACTGATGTGGGATTTTCACCAGGAGTCTAATTTCTGGTTTAGCAATTAAGGGTTTCTCCTACCTAGTCACAGATTCTTTCCACACAGCATTTCATTCACATAAATTTAAGCTCAGCCAATGCAAAAAACAGTCTGCATCAGCATGCCCCTAACTACTGTAAAATGTAGAATCATTTGGGTTTGTGTACAAGTGCTTGCTTTCATGGATATATATAAAACTCACCAGACTAATCATCAAGATGGGAAAAGACTAGGCAGGTAAGAGCAGTCTACCACTTGTACTGCAGATTTCTCTTGGTATAAGACATACTCATATTTTACACTTGAATTACAGATACAGTCACCTGCATTTTTGCTCAGAATTCAACACAAGATGCCTCAAAAGTGTATTAGCATGATAAGCAATCATACCTTTTAGAACGACTTCACTGTGGCCTTATTTGTTTTCTCCCTTTTCTTTCCTCTGCCCCCTTGCAATGTTCTCTCATTAATGCATCCAAATGCTCACAACACTGGAGTCCGAAGGATAGATTCCTGTATATCCACAGGGTCTTTGACTTCCTTGCCCAGATCTCTGGAAAATACGATGGCATTTTTCTAAGAACAATGATAAAAAAATTGTATCATCTACTGCTTGGCAAAGAGACAGTTAAGCTATTTAATCTGTAATGATAATACAGAATTTATCCCCACCAAGGAGGTATCTTACAAAGATGCATTCTAGATGTGTGAGAGATTAGCAGGCACAAAGCAAGAACATATTCACGTGTTCTTTGGGGTTTCTGCTGAAACTTACAGCAAATATGATTATGCTTTTCTGAGTGAGCATCTACCCAGGTGGCACACACAAATATGCAAGCTTCCTTCTTTCAAAGGGAGAGAACGGTCAGCTCAGAAACACGGGCCTGATCTTCACATTTACTGCATGAACCTCATAACCTTCGTTAGGTTATGACCACACTTCAAAACTGTAACGTGACGGGGTCATGTCCTCAGCTAACAGTTATATTAGCCCATCTTCCCAAATATGTGCAATTTTAACCTGCAAAGACCTCTTTTGCTAAGTTTAGTGACAGTTTATGCTCTTGAAGAAGATAGCTTACATGTAAAGGTAAGAATCCTCTGTGCTGGTGTATAAACTGTGCTTAGTATAGTGCATTCCACAGAAAAAAACTGGAGTGCAATACCTTGCAGATTTGGTATAATTATAAATAGGTCCATGTTGAGAGAACATTATACAAGCTGCAGTGTATACTTGTAGAACTTGCTTGCTGAGAGACATCTCTGGCAGAGATTGTATTTTCTGAGATAACTTCTATCTCAGCGAGACCACTGTGATCTTGACAGTTGGCACTGCAACCAACATGGGCTTTAACGAAGACTTTTCATGCAGCTTCCACTGCTGTGGGCTTCCCAGAATAGCTACATGATTACTACACATGCGTTCATACGTGTATGTCACACTTCTTGGCATTAATCAAACCTCCTTGGCACCGAGAGGGATGAGAGTGCCACAAAGGGAAGTGATGAAGAAAACTGGCCTTTTCCTGTCTTTTTAAATCAAGTATTTTGAAGTTGGATATCCACAGACTTTCTGTCACTCAGCCAATGTATGTTTAAAATATGTATTTATCCATGTGCTAGCCTGTATGTGTGCATATGCATATATGGTTTGCTTACTTCATTTTCTTCTTTGACTGAGGGAAACGAGTAGCTGAACCGAGATAATTACTGCAGTGTAGAGGAGCCATTCAGGACAGAGTCATTATACAAACTAAGCAGAGTTTTCCTTTTTGACAGTATGGTAATTAAGAAACAACCGTATGGTGATCTGGGAAATCCTTGATTATGTTTCTTGATTATGGACTGCTCTCAAGTACTCTGGAGTTTTGCATGCTCTGGGACAGTTATGAAGCCACTATGAAGCATTACATAAAACAAAGGGGCACAATCAAGTGACAGAACAGTTGATAGTAAGAATGATATATGCAAAACTAGCTGCATAACGTTTTATTTTACCTTCTAATAAGTTGAGACAGTTCAACATCATAAAGTTATGCAGTACAGCGTCTGTTCTCTTAAATCCTGTATTGCTTCACTGCTAGTGCCTCTAAGTAGCAGAATTTCAGACCTGCCTATGTGTGTGGGTGAGTATGAGAGATTTGTTTCAAGGCTAGTGCTTTTGGTTTACTAGTCTCTTTTAGTGTGGTTCAGTTATTTCATTGTCGTTATAAGTTCCAAGACTACTGCCAAATGTATGAAGTAGGCAAGAGAGGGCTTCAAGCTGTTCTGTTTGGATCTCTGACACATACACCATTTCATCCTCCTGAAGTAACTGCAGCACACTGCATTGCTCCAGTGTTCTGGACTTTTACCTGAAAAATTACTTTCTCAATCTTTAAATAGTAGAAAATCAGCTGAGTTTTATGTGTCTAGTTAGCTGCCAAGAAGTGACTCCCAGTCCCCTTAACGTTTCTCACAGATGTACTCTAAAAGAACCCAAAACATAATTCTTAAATTATTCAGAGATATTTTAGAACACAGTTGGATGGAAGCCACTATTCAAACAAAATGTCAAGTACTTCTTTATATTAACAAGTATTAATTTACCAAAAGCACTTGGGAAATTTACATAAATTCCTCTAAAATTTACCTCAGAAATACATTGCTTTTATGTCTCATCTAATCAATATATTTGCTTAATGCTTTGTATAACTGGTAATGTACCTTTCCCAGTGAACATGTAAGGTTTTACTTTCGTCCATGCTGAAGTAGATGTATGCCATTTTAAAAAAAGAACTTAATCTCTCCTGAGTGACTCCAAGATCATCCTCTTTAGCAAGGTCTGAACCTACTTACTGACTCTTTTAATTGCTCATACTCACAGATTAGGTAAGGAGAGAAGGGATGTCAGAAACAAATGGATATGGAAAAGGCAGAGCAAAACATAAGGGTGGAAAGAAACTGAAAAAAAAACCCAAAACTAAACCAAACCAACAACCCACTCCTGGAAACGGTTTTCTTCTGAAACGAGGCTGTAAGACAGAGTAACACATGGTATTCAAGCATGAAGTGGGAAGCTCTAGCTGTTGGTTCAGTTATTGATTTCACAGGGGCACACTGGTCAGATGGACTGCTGCTCCAGTGAAACAAAGCTGACACTGGCCTCTGCTCTGTGATGCTGCACACTGATAAGCAAACATCCATATTTCTCACCTTTATAGATCTGACCCTCTCTGAAGCAGCGGCCGCAACACTAACCACCTCTCTCCACCATCAGCTTGCGCGTTCAAGGGCCACCAGAGGTTTGCTTTGCTCACTTCTACAGAAGACGGTCGGTCACGTATGTTGTGAAAAATGGCATCGCTTTTTCTGCAGGATTTCTGACTATTCTAAAAATGAACATACAGAGCCTGTGTGAGATTTTTGTTAAGGAAGTAATATCGAGGGAGAAGAATAGACTACCCTTCAAACAACGCAGACTGCGTTACAGCAAGCGGCCGCAGCAAAAGCAGGAGCACAGGCCTGCCGATGGTCAGGCCCACAGACACGTCCCCACGGACGTTTCTTAGGTGCCGGGGCACGGCCTCGGCAGAGCCGATCACACACACCCGGGGCTGTTCGGAATCGCCTCCCCCTCAGGTGCCGAATCTCGGGCTCCCCGTAACACCCCCGTTCCCACAGAAGAGCCCTCTCGAAGGCCCGGCCCAGTCTGGGCCCACGCCAGCGGACCGGAATCCCCCCGCACCCTCAGAGACGCCTGGGCCCGCCCCGCCTCACGGCACTACCGCGCTTCACGGCTGGCGGCGCGCGCGCAGCGGGGTGGCGTGGCTGCGGCCCTCCTCGCCGGTGCCCTGCTCGCCCTGGGCCGCCCTCCCCTCGCGCTCGGGCAGGCGGCGGAAGGCTCAGCAGCGGCTCTGCCGCACCGCCGCTTTGAGTACAAGTACAGCTTCAAGGGGCCGCATTTGGTGCAGGCGGACGGGACTGTGCCGTTCTGGGTGCATACGGGCAGTAAGTGCCGGGCGGCAGGTTGCGAGCGGGGCCGGGCCGGGCCGTGTTGCTGCCGTGCGGGGATAGGAGGGGCACGGCGAAGGTGGATGCGGCCGGCGGGACCGGGCAGCTTTGTGTGGGTCACAGGGCCGCCAAGGCAACGGGTGGGGAGCAGCGGCGGCGGCGGCTCTTATGACCGGCCGCTGCCCGAAGGGAGCGGAGCTGGGCTCGCCCCCCGATCCCTGCACCGTCTGCCGCCTCGGCAGGGTCCCGCGGCATTGCACGGAGCTCCCAAGGGGCAAAGGAGGCGCTGTGGCAGCGGTTGAATGGCCAAAAGCCCTCCCCTGCCGTGCGGCTCGCAGGCAGCCCTGTGTTGCCATGTGCTGCGGTCGCTCCATCGCTGTGTGCGCTCCAGGGAGCGCCCCGCGGAGTGCTGATGTGTCACTCGGGCAGAGTGTGGGCCCGCCTGGCGCTGTGCCTGAGCCGGGCCACGGGGCCGCAGGTCCCGTTAGCGCTCGGTCGGGGTGTAAGAGTCTGAAATGGGGACTGTGCCGTGGCAAATGCAGCCTCGCTGAACATAGCTTCTGCGATTGAAGTACAGGTCAGGGATGTGACTGTGCTGAAAGTGCGTCTAGGCTTCTGTAAAGCTCCATCCTCCTGTAAACTGTGTTGATATTCATGGTACATAAGGATCTACCTTAGTACGGTTTCTCTGCAGGAACTTCTAATGTGGAGTTTGTTTTTTTGTTCGGTTGGCTTTAATGATGAGTGTGAATCTTGTACTAATGTTTCACATTACGCTGTAAGTGACCTGAAGGCAGCTGTCTACAGATAAGCTTTTTTTCAAGTAAATGATGACAAAAATGTTATTTAATACAAGTGAATGGATTTATGTATGTCTATTTTTACTTTAAACTATTAAAAAATAGAATATCTGTTATTAAAAAACAAAACAGGAATCTGTGATTTGTGAAGAGTTATGTGAGATACAGGAGAAAGCTAAACCTGATTTTATTAATTTAATATGTATCTTAATAGCAAGGCCGAGGTCCTACTTAAGTTGTACCTTGTGGCACCAAACAGAAGGTGATTAAGTCTTCTGAAAAGCACTATTAACAAGCTGTTGAAGGTAAAAGTGTGTTCTGTTGTTGGGGTTTTTCCCCTTGTCAAGTGGTTGAGTGCTCCACTAAAAAGTGATTCTGAAAACTGTCCTCTAGTTGAGGAGACCAGAAAACCTTGACTTTAGAAGATCTGTTAATTGGCTGCTTAAGCACTTGCAATATGTTCTCTCTCATGTAATCGGTGTTGGTTCATTTCCTTTCTAGATGCCATACCAAGTGCGGATCAGATTCGTATAACAACATCTTTGAAAAGCCAAAGAGGGTCAGTGTGGACAAAAACTAAGTCAATATTTGAATATTGGGAAGTCGAAGTGACCTTTCGAGTTACAGGAAGAGGCCGCATTGGAGCTGATGGATTGGTATTAAGAATTTGATCTAACTGAAAAAAGAAATTGGACAAGCTGTAAAAAGTGATTATTGACTTGTGACTCTTCTTTCTGTAATAGGCAATCTGGTATACAGAAGAGCAAGGCTTGGAAGGCCCTGTTTTTGGGGCAGCTGATCAATGGAATGGTGTTGGAATTTTCTTTGATTCCTTTGACAATGATGGAAAGGTTAGTTGAAAAAAGAAACTTCTGGCAAACTCTTCCTGCTTGTTTCGTACCTATCACTTGGCGGGGGGAAGGTGATGTTATTTTCTTATTCTTTTGCTTTGAAGGGGTAAATTAAAATACTCAATTTTCCCTTTCATAATTTTTAATCGACTGTTTTACGCTTGTTTTTTAAGCTTGCAAGTTGAAGTGTAGCACATAATGTACCTCCTCTGAACATTGATGCATGGGTCTGGTTTGGAGGGAAAATAGCGTATGTAACTGTATAAGCTGAAATTTGGAATGGCCATGTATGATTTGAAATGTTGATATGTGTGTGCTTTGTAAGAGGCTTATTATGACAAAATATGACATTACGGAAACACTAACGCTCTGTTTGTCTTCAGAGATGCTCTTTTTCTTGGAACACATCTTCCTTGAGTAGTTCAGCAGTGAAAAATCTGTAGCAGAAGGGGATGGCAGTTGCTGTTTTGAATTTCCAGTTTCAAATCCAGCATGATCCTTAGAAACTTTAACAATAGATAGTGTGTCTCTTGCTTTTTTTTGTTGTTGTTGTCACAACCTATCAGAAGGAAAAGAACCACAGTTCTGTTGCAATTTGGTCCTTTTTGAAAACAAAGGACTCCCCTACCCCACCATTGTGAATTGAGAAGGACATTATTTTTTGAGTTCTTGAAATCTGTTTTGTTTGGTGTTTTTTAAGAGCTGGTAATCTATGTAGTGGTACAGTGTATTCCTTTATATCATGGGTTAACCCCTGTAGACAGCTAAGCACCATATGGCCAGTCACTTATTTTCTGATGGGATGGGGGATAAAATCAGAAGGCTAAAAGTGAGAAAACACGTGGATTGAGATAAGCCCAGTTTAATAGGCAAAGCAAAAGCTGCATGCTCGAGCAAAGAAAAAAATGTATTTGCTACTTCCCACTGTCAGGCAGGTGTTCAGCCGTCTCTAGTACCTCATAATGATGACTTGGGAAGACAAAATGCCATAAGTCTGAATGTTCCCCCTTCTTATTCTGAGCATGATGCCATATCTGGGATATTCCTTGGTCAGCTGTCCTAGCTGTGTCCCCTCACAACTCCTGCACCGCGGCCTACTCACTGGTGTGAAAAGCAGAAAAGGCTGATCCCAGGACACCTGTGTAAGCAATAACTAAGACGTTGCTGTGTTGCCAACACTGGTTTTTACCATAAATCCGGAACATAGCCCTATACCATCTACAATGAAGGAATTCTGTCTGTAGTGTAATGGTATCAGGTGCCTTATTGCAGAAAGGCTAACAGCGATGTTACTTACGTTTCCCATTGAATTTAACTTCCATTTTTTGCTATTTATTTTTTCTAGAAAAACAATCCTGGAGTGATCGTTGTAGGCAACAATGGTAAACTTCTGTATGATCATCAGAAGTAAGTTTATTTTCAGCATTAATGATGGATGTTTGCTTTTGATTGATGAAATGTTGCATGAAACTCTTAAGAAACATTATTGTGAAAGTTTCTTTCGTGTGAAACCTTGTTTCCTTTGTTTGAGTTTTTCTATTTGTTAAAACACTGTTATGGCAGTAACAGCACAGAAATTGGCGACTGATGGATGTTAAATGGTATGTGTCCTTTGGGATGAACGAACTCAGATAAATGGAAGAACAGACTTTTTGCCTCTTTACTACCTGGTGGTGTCTTCCACGCACAGCTAATAACTGACAGAAGTGACTGAAAGCTAATTGCTTGCTACTGCAATTAATTGGTTTAATTTTGATTTCAGATTGTTTATAGTCAGCAGCACAGCTGACGTATTTTTGGGTTCTGAGAAGCGTCTAGCTTAGTTGATGCTGTCTGGGCTACAGCTTATTTCCATCTCAGTTTGTGTCTAGCTTCATTAGTGCAGTCCAGACTATAGCTTATTTCTGTCTTAGTTCACAGGTGTGGGAATATCTCTAACCTTGGAGATTTCCCCTGTGTTCAAGTTTCCCCGTTACTGCTGTCTAGCTGTAGTGCCCTGTGTAAAACATCCTGTACTGTTGATCTCAGACTTCAGAACACAGTGCAGTTGTGGGACAGCTTTTGAAAAACGTACATATTGACAAACTACCATGATGTTGCTTAGTGATATATTGATGCTTTTCTGTCTTAGCTGATAAATCATAAGATATAGTTTTATGCAAGTTGTCTTCTTGCATAGTGATGGTTCCACACAAGCATTGGCATCCTGTCAGAGGGACTTTCGTAACAAGCCCTATCCTGTTCGAGTAAAGATAACATACTACCAAAAAACCCTGACTGTAAGTACTCCGAAATAACATCATTATGTTTGTTTCTTGGCCGCTTAAGTGCGAGATTGTTGCAACTGTCTGAAAACCCAAAGCCCCCGTATGTTAATTCTGGCACGTTTGAAAATGTGGAGCTTGGTAGCAGAAGTTGGGAGGAGGTGCAGGGTTCAAACACTGGTCAGATTTTCAGCTACATTAGTGCATCTATAGTTTTAGGAGCTGACTTGGTAGATATTGCTGATTTCTCTGATGTTACTTAGGAGTCGGTTACGCTAAGTCATATGTGCTCGCAGCCTTCTGTTGCTGTTGACTTGCCTGTAGAGGTGTCTTAAAGCCAGCATGTTTCTCAGCTACCAACTGATTGAGCAGCTCCTTGACTTGAATGGTACTTTTCAAGCTGACATGAGAGCTATGCAGGGTTTTGTAGCTGATCTGACCTGTAAGAGGCTCTTGAAATGTGTCAAAAAAAAATGAAGCTCGCTCCCTGACAGTAGATTTAAATTTACTACTTGAGGCTTCCCATCTCCAAGAAATAATAGGGCTTTGAAGATGAAAGGTAGAAAACCAATGCTGTAAGAGAGTCTTCAACACTTCCTAAATACTGTTAGGATGATTGTGAATTCCTTCTAGATAAGGAAAGAATAATGTTATTATGGTGCTGGGTTGTAACAGCTACAAAATGTGGGTTTCTTGGTTTCTGAAAAGGTGCTATTCATAGGTATTAGCCATAAAATGCACAGTTGTTACTTTATAGTAAAAGTTTCCCTAAAAGTAAGCATGAATGCTCCTAGTAGAGGGTGGGCCTTGTACTGTGTTGTAATGGTAAAAGCTATTTAACTTTTGAATGAAAATGAAATTTCAGACTCCAAGGCTGCTCACTTCTGGAATGTACCTGGTCCCTGATGTCTTATCTAGGAACTCCTCTGTCCAAATGTTGCTGTTAATCTTAGCAGTTCTGCAGATGCATCTATGCGTTTTCTTTGTTAAAAGCATCTTTCAGAAAAGAAATAGTTTTTGCTTTCTAGTATCGGCTGTTAAATTATCCGATTAAGTTGTATTTGTGATCATTACTGTAAACTGACAAAGCAATTAACGCAAATAGATTTATGGGGTAAAATTTACATGTTTATCCTTTTAGGTATTAATTAATAATGGCTTTACTCCGGATAAAGAAGACTATGAATTTTGTGCAAAAGTGGAAGATATGGTGTTGCCATCACAAGGCTATTTTGGAATATCTGCAGCAACAGGGGGACTTGCAGGTAGAAAATGTTAAACGTTGTGACAAATTGTGTGGGGGCTTGCAAGAGATGGGGTTTTGTGTGTTGGCTTTTACTGCTAGTCTTGATGCATTATACCAACTTTTGACCATGATGATCTAATTAATTCTCTCCCATTCCCAAATAACTGGTATGCTTAAGCCTTTTCCTGGCCAGAGCAGGACTTTCAGTTTATCCTGACAAAGATGTTGTGCAGTCTCATTTCCCACTGCATAAACTTTTGGGAGGACTTTGGGAGGATGCTGTTGCCTGAAGACCCTTTGCAAGTGCAAGGCTGGCTTGAGAAGTACCAGGATTTGTAGCCTATAACAGTAGCAATTAACAGCGTGCTTTTGTTTTGTTGATTACAGATGATCACGACGTCCTGTCTTTTCTGACCTTCCAGTTGACAGAGCCTGGGAAAGAAGCAGTAAGCATCTTTATGCATAATTAATAAAATATGTGACTGTATGTATCTCATATGTAGCACCTCATGATGGCGTTTCCTCTGAAGTCATACTTGTCACCCCTGTTTCAGGATTTTGGCATGTGCTGTCATCCAGTTTAGAAAAAGGAGACTAATAATAGTGTAATGTTTCAGTAATAATTCCATTTTCAAGACCAGAGCTCTTGAAGCAGCACCAAATCAACAGAAATCCTGACGCTGAATCAAAACATGCAAAGAAAACAAATCGAGAAGTACACTTTGGGAAGTGGACAAGTAATCTCTTCTTGCCTTCAGCTTCTTATATCTCTGGAACAGTCTGTACTACCTAACAACATCTATCCTTGTAAAACTTGGTTTCCTTTTAATCACAGAAAGTATGCATATATCAGGAAAAAGCTATGGGTCTCCAGAGGAATGTCTGGTTACTCACTTCAACTTAATATGTTAATATGAATTAATATTCTGCTAATTGTGTTATGTCTTCAGATCTGAAGTACAAACAGCCTTGCTTAAGAGTAAGTTATATAGGAATGGTGGAGACGACCATGGGAAAAAAAAAAATCTCTTTTCTCTTTCCCCCACCCCAATGTTTTATAGCCAACGCCAGATGCAGAAATTCCTCAGAAAGATAAAGAGAAGTATCAAGAAGAGTTTGAGCACTTTCAACAAGAATTGGATAAAAAGAAGGAAGAGTTTCAAAAGGAACATCCTGACGTGCAAGGGCAGCCAGGCAGGTTATTTGAGCCATTTTTCACTTGTCAAGGAAAACATTTGCTTTCCAGGATACTCAGAACTGGGGCCTGATGCTCTGACTGATCTTCCTAAGCTTCTACTGGTGTTACCTACTTTAATAATCTTTGGGGTTTTATTTGTAAACTGTTTTCTGAAATACAAAGTCCCTGTTGTCACGGCTGGATTGAGAATAAAACAAACAAGAGGAAACATGCTGGGAATGATGAAAGTCTTCTGGACTTTCTTCTTCTGATATTGCTGAAGCTGTGGAGAAACCCAAACGTGCAGTCACTCTCTATTTCAAGCTACATTTTAAAGCTTACTTTTTCTAAAAAGTACCTATTACTTAATACCTGCAATTTCCTTCTGAAGGATAGTTGGTAGCAAAGTGCTAGCTTGTGGAAAGATAGCAGCATCCTGTTTCCATTCTATGTTGCATATTGCCCAAGTATTAAAATAGGAACTCTACCTTAGAGTCTGGGTTTGAATGCTTGCTTATCTCTGTTCAGTTGTGTCCCATTTGAGTCTCCTTTGCCATGGCAATAGCAAAAATTCAACACCAAATATATCAAATTATAGGGGAAAAAAGTATATTTGTGTGGAAACTTGAGGGGTGCAAGAGAAATGACACAATGCATATATGCAAGAGGAATGCTTATATGTAAGAACTCCTGTGCTTTTTTTTTTCCTTATCAGCGGATGATCTTTTTGAAACTGTAAGTGATCGTGAACTGAGGCAAATCTTTGAGGGACAGAATCGAATTCATCTTGAAATAAAACAGCTGAATAGGCAATTGGACATGATTCTGGATGAGCAAAGGAGATACGTCTCTCTAGTGACAGATGAGATTGCTAAAAGAGGAGCTGGTTTGCCAGGTCAACAAGGGCAGGTAAATAAAAACCCCCAACCGTCATTGCTGTCAGCCTAACTTCAGCAGCACGATTGATTTGCTTTTTCCAAGATATGTTGATCTTTTTCTCACACTCCCCTCCACCCATCAGGTTTCCCAGCAAGAGATTGAGACAGTTGTGAAAACTCAAGAAGAGGTTGTTAGACAAGTGAATGAAATAAGGTAAGTGTTTTCTGAATAGTAAGGCTGTGTCTTGATTTCTCTATTATTTTCCACCTTTTAAATCCTATTTATTATTTCAGTAGGAGAATACTGACAAACTTGAAATTTCTCTGTGCCAGTTTTTTAGTGACAACTCTCTGCATACAGCTGATTTCTAGAATAACCCAAGTTCATGTTCTGAGTGTGACTGAGCTCTGAATTTGCCTCTTTTTGTGTTGTTTTTGTCATGATATTCCACTTTCCAGTTAAGTCTATTCCCTTTAAAAACAATCCATTTCTACTAATGTGATAACCTTCTACCTTGTGGCAATCTGTTGCTCTGACTTAGGAGTATTGATAACAACATGAGCATAAATGCTCTGGACTTACAGCTAGTGAACCTAAAGGAGAAAAAGGGTATCTTGTCAATATACTCAGTCTACTCCTCATATATTAATAACCCCACGTAATCATTATATTAATAAAATGGATAATATTATGTTTAGATAATATTATGAGATATATTTGAGTTTTTTTTTAGTGTAAACAACCTGGCAAAAGAAAAAGGTACTCTAATATGAAATTGCTGTCACATTGCGTAGTTAAGACAGAAATGTATTGGTTTAGTTGTGCCAATGCAGTGTATAGACCACTTTAGTGATTTGTCCCCATTTCTTACAGATTAAATGGGCTCTTTCTCTTTGGTTGGTTTGTTCTTTTGTTGGAGGACTTTCTGCCAGTGAACTTCCTCAAGGAACTTGTGTATCTGCACAGACGATTGCAAGTTCCCGATTGCTTATTAATTTTGCTTTTTCAGATGCAGTTTTTAAAATGGATTGATTCAAATTATGTCTCCAAATGAAGTTAAGTCTTATTTTGACAGTGCTATACTTGTAAAGTGGATTGGAGAAAATTCTCATGTTTGATAGGGATGGTTGTGTACTGCTTCCAAGATGTTTTACAGTTCCTGCCTTTAGCAGGAATGGCTTAAAGTTGGTTTAACCCTTCATTTTTAGTAGTTAAATTCCTTACCTTGGGCTTAGAGTAAGGAGAAAAACAATTCCTACAGTTGTGGGTTTTTTTTCCCTGCATTAGTTCAAGGGCAGCTCTTGTGATTTATCTAAGTAGGTCAGGTTTTCTGTAGGATGAAGATTAGAGTGCTTCCATTTTTGCATTTGTTCTTCCACGAAAGCTTTCATGTTAATATTCTTGACAAATCTTTATACCTTGCAAGCAAATTAGATTTTCTTGTTAACGTTGGCAGTCTGCCCTTTTAGTGACTACTTATTAGGTATGAGTTTGCGTAACATCATCTTAATATTTTTCTTAGATTAAAGAAATGTTTTATTTAGAGAGAGAAATGAACAGCCCGCTGTTGCAGTCCTGGTCATCCCGGAGGAAAAGGACTTAGTGTCTAAGTAATTTTCTTGTCAAGATTTGTGGATTTCTTAATCATCTGATTACAGAAGAATCTTGCATGTTCATACAATAGAAACTGCCAACATCATATTGTTCATGCAAAAGTAAATGTAAATTAAATTTGATGCAGACTGTATCTATTTAGGGAAGTTGTTTTGCCTTTAAGAGACACTGGATCAGTCAGAGGGAAGGTGGGTGTGCAGGTTTCTGTAGTTTCATAGCCATGGTGGTATGAGGAGCGCAAAGAACAAAATGAGTATCACACTTTTCTGCTTTTTTTTTTTTAGTGTTGTAGCACTAAAAGTAGTGGGGCAAGATAAACAGTGAGGTGGATGTGGATAGGCAGAATTGAGATCAGTGTTTATTAGGCAGTGGTCATGATGGTGGTTGCATGGGTTATTTAAGAAAGAAGCCTTCCAGTGGAAAACTTAACATCTAAAATAGGTTATTATAACACCAATTCAAAGTACAGGTAGCTATTAATCAAATTACTTTTAAATAATCTATACCATGATGATACAAAAATATAAAATAATTTCTGGCTAAGGCTAAATTAAGCTAGGACAGGAAGAGGGGTTTTGCATTCAGTGTGTGCATGTGGGTTTGCTCTGTGTGTTGAATTTTAGTGGCATGAAGAGCAACTGATACAAAGCTGAAAGACGGGCATCGTCTTTACAAAGCTTCCTTGAATCTTAACTAGCCATTTTCACAACGGATATGATCCGTTTAAATCACTAATGTAATTTTGTGTTTGGTTTTGGTTTTAGTTTCATTTCCTTTATGTGACAGTTTAAAAAGTAAGTATTCAAGGCCAGGTTGGATGGGGTTTTGAGGCATTGAAAGAAGTCCCTGCCGACAGCAGGCGGGTTAGACTAGCTGATCTCCAAAGATCCCTTCCAATCCAAACCACTCCATGGTACTATGACAAATTGCTGACCACTGTACAGTTAGGACTGTATCTTGAAGGCATCAAAGTAAGCTCTCATCTGAACAAAATGTAAAGTTTTAAGTAAATTAAAAAGAAATCCAAAGACAATCTATTTTGCTTGCTCTGTTAATAATGAAGAGATTAACATTCACATGGTAAATATTTTAGCTGTAGAGTAATCTTCTTTGCAACTGAAAAGAAACATCACAGTAGGGAAAAATTATATAAACATATTGATTAGAGATTAAGGGGTTTTCCTCTCATTGACTAGTTTACCTCAAACAAAATTAGTTATGGAACCTCAACTTTTTACAGATTTAATTTGATTTGATGTAGTAGCAAAATGAATTCATATGAAAACAATATTAAGTATTATGACAATGCATGTGGGAAATGAGTTTCTCGTATAAATGATTATCATGAAGGAAGGATGTATCTAAATCTTTTCTTATCCCTAAAGCCTCTTCTTTATTTTTATTTCTTACATGACTGCTTTTATTTATTTATTTTTCAAATAGCTTTTGGTTTTCTTCAAAGATTGCATTAAACTCTGCTTATCCTAAAGCCTTCGCAAGAGCCTCAGATAAAACGCTCGGTTTTAGACTTCATCAGTCAGGCAAAGCGGATGCCTAGCCATAGAATATTTGCCAGATCTTGTTCTCCACGTGACTTTGAGAGATGGTACACTGGACAAATTGAAACTGCCTAACCCACAGTTTGATGAAGAAATTATTTCCTGATAGGTATTCTTGGAAACTAGAGCAAATGTTTTCTGCCTAACTGTTCTATGATTTGGGACAGCTCTGTATTTCAGACTAACTTTAATGGCCCAAAAGGTGCTCAGAGGAAGCGCTATTTGTAGAGAAGCTTTTCTATGCTGAAATGTTTTGTGTCTGTCTTTCTTTCAGAAATTCTGTGGCTGATACTCTGAGGTTGATCAGTGGTGCTCAACATCCTGGCTCTGCTGCCGGAGTCTATGAAACAACTCAGCACTTCAATGACATCAAAGAACACCTTCATGTAGTAAAGAGGGACATTGAGCATTTAGTACAACGAAATATGGTAATTTATGTGCTGGTAGCGTAAAGCATGGCTGTAATACTACTTTTTTTTTGGCTGTTAGTGAAAGGCTAGGACGAGCCAGCACACAACTTACGGAGTAATTAATCCTTTATTAAGCTGCTTTGCTAAAACTGCACTGCCTTGACCTAACTGCATGATCTGTGTCTTGATGAGAAGTTTTGCACAAAGAGCATGATTTTTAGTCTAATTTCCTGTGGAAACAAGGTCAAGCAATTAGGTTTTCTGGGTGCTTTTTTATGTGTTTGTCCCCCTCCTTAACGGCTCTATACAGAGGAGATTATTGCTTCTGCAGAGAAGGGAGAGCTTTAATCAGGGGAAAGTTGGGCAGACTTCACTTAAGGCCTCCTAAGTGTGAAAGATGACTGTGTTCACGTTCAAGAGCACCTTAGTCTAGCCTAGGTAGTAATTGAATGAGTTTATGATCCCATAGAAGGCTTTTTTATTATTTTTTTTTTCCCCCTCAGGGTAGTGTCATTTCTGCCTCTTTTCTGCTTGTTCTTACTTTGATATCATGCTTTAAAGACCTAGTTTTGTTTCTTGCATGTAACAGTCTTTTGATGGCATGTCTTATTTGCTCTTTTCTCAAATACTGTTTTTCTTGGGTTTTAGCCATCTAGTGAGAAATCAAAATGTCCAGAACTGCCACCATTTCCATCCTGCTTATCTACGATGCACTTCTTCATCTTTGTAGCAGTGCAAACAGTGCTATTCATCAGTTATATCATGTACAGGTAAGTCTCTTTTTGTTTAAAGACAACAGGGCGAATGGTTTTAGGACTTCTGACTGGAAATAAAGTTGCAGTGATATGATTATGTTAATCACCTTTAAAACAAGCCGTCATTCAGATGGGAAGAGACCTTGGGAGGTCTCTAGTTCAGTCGTCTGCTCAACGGAGGCTTAACACTGAATTCGCTTAGTCACTTAGTGTTTAGACTGCTCAGATCTTAACCTCCAAGCATGGAAAAGGTACCACTATTACAGACCCCACTGGGAATGTTTAATTCTCATAATGCAGTTTTAGCCTTCCCCCACAGTGCACCAAGTGGGAACCTGCCTGCTTTCAGTTTGCATGTTGTCTCGTATGGTGTGTGTCTTTGTGAAGAAACTGCCTCTGTCTCCTTAATAACATCTTATAGGTATTGGAAAGCTGATGTTAGACCTTTTGAAGCCGCCTTTTGTCCAGGATGAACAAGCCTAGTTCCATCCCTCCCTTCTCTTCAGGCGTGTGCTTCAGCTCTTAACCTCCACCCTTGTGGTCCTCTGGACTCACTGAAGTTTATCAATATCTTACGAAAACATGATGTGATTTTTTTCCTTATTTCATGTGCTTGGTAGTCTTCCTTCTTGCTTCTCACAGACACTAATCAGGATAAGGAGCAGGGACCAGAACAGCTGCATTGCCCTTCAAAGGGAAAATGCTGTTTGCTACCTCTCTGGAAGGTTATAAGACCACTGCTGCTGATTGCAGTAGTTTTTGTATGTCTCTTTCTCCACAAAGTGGAGAGAGCGTGTTTCCTACATATGTCATGTTATTCCATCAACTGAAATGATGGCTTGCAAGGCAAACAAGGACCGGGTCCCCACCAGTTTTTTTGATGCCCTTGTAATTCTAGCATCTGTGTGTGGCTGATCCACAGTATCCACTAAGAAAATAAATATGTTCTGTGCTAGAGGGAGAAGGAAATCCCATTTGAAGTAAATTCTTCCACTATTTGGTTGCATACATTTCCTTCTGTGTGATGGTTTTTAGAGCAATCAGGTACAGAGGAGCTTTAGAAGATTTTAGTTCCAACATTTTAAGAGTCATTTTGTATGTTCTTCCACAGCTTCTGGTTTGTCTGGGATGTCGTATTTCCTTCTGTGTCTGATGCAAAATTGAAACTAAAGTGATGATACTAATATCTTTGTAAATAGGAAAAAATGTACCCTGCTTGTGTGATATGACTTATATTTGATTTCCCTAAGTCTCCATTGACAAGGAATGGAGTCTTTTAATCCCTAAATAAATATTTAAATCGGTTAGCTAGCTTTATACTAAAAGTACTTAATGAATTCTCTTCTGCTTTCTCTTTCAGGAGTCAGCAAGAAGCAGCAGCCAAAAAGTTCTTTTGATGACCTGTTCCCTTTGTGTGTACGTTAACAGCAGTATGTATGCACAGAAAACTTTTATAAATGAGGGAAAACTTAGTGTTTGATATACTTCAATATTGTAAATTATTGAATTTTGTTAAACCAAATGAGTTCCTATTTAAACTGTTAATGCTAAAGTTACAAATGGACTGGGGAGCAGCAGAACAAATGCCAGATAGGGGTCACAGTCTTCCCTTATCTAGGTTGTGTTTTCAGCTAACTTCTCATGAATACTGGAAGGCAAATGCCGTATTCCTCTTCTTTTGTTAAGATTGCAGAGGAAGGAATTGAAAAACCTGGGTTTGGTTGTTCATAAAGAGATTTGCAGTTGTATGATTTGTGCAAAAACCTTCCTATTAAGTGTCCTGACAGGCAAATAAACAAAACGCATCCAAAAAAGCCAACAACAACAAAAAGGAACACCAACCAACCCCAAACTGTTCTGTTTGTTTTTGAGGGGGCTGTAAAAGTGGTTTTTATAAACACTTCTTGACACTTGAATTTGACAGTTTAAGAATTACTATGTTAATTCTAACTCTTCATGAAATACAGATTTAAACATTTCTTAATATGTGGACACAAAGACAGACCTTTAACAGTCTGGCTGTTGATACCTGATGTAGAAAACAAAATATACTGAACAAGCAAATAAAGGCTAATCTCCTTAATTTGGGTTTTAGGTAGTGAGAAAAAACATGATAAAGTAGATTCTTCAAGTATATTGTGGACTGAATTCTTTTTCATAGTTACAAGTGTGTCTGTAATTCTGCTTGGAGATTTGTGGAACTTCTTCAGCAAAGATATCATTGCTTTATACCTCTTCAAATCTGTTTTTATTAAGGGTATGTTTAGTGTATAAATGTCTTATAAAACTGTCTTCTCTCTTTCATGTATCAAATACAAATGCTTTAAGTCTTGACATGGCAACTGTTCTAAACTACAGCTATTGAGTGTTTAACCCATTTCTTCACAGGCTGTTGTTTCAGACATGTTTGTTAGTCCAGTAGCTATTGTAGAGCCAGTATTGTGTGTCAATTCCTGCTTGGTGTCAAAAGCATGAGACTGAACATGTGTGTTTGATACTGCTTATTGGGTGAACATTTGCTTCAGGAAAGAAACAAAGTGGAGAGCCCAAAATAGGAATGTGAAATGAATTCATTTGGCCTTGTTTACACATCTGTGGTGACTTTGTCCTTAGGTTGTTCACATGTAGAGCTAGAACAGGGGGGTTTGGTTTGGGTTTTTTCTAATTCTATAAAGTACACAAATGCATTGGGATATTTCACTTTTAATTAATCTCTTTGTCTAAATCTGCATAAGTTACCTGGAATCTAGCATACTACTACTGCATTCCTACACTCTACACCCTTGGGGTGCAACACATGCTGCCAAATTTGCTGTAATGAAGAACACTTCAGTATTGTGCCTGTCAGTTTGGAGAAATGATAAATCTATGCAAACTATTTTGTTACTTACTGTGTTCAAAAAGTGGATATTTCTGCTATACCAATAAAACTGCCTACACACCTATTTACACAGCTACAGTATATAGTATACTGTATGTGGTATAGCTTTATAGATTCATTTCTGAGTTTGAGAGGATTTTGCTGTGCTAATCAGAAACCACTGCTTCAGGCTGATCTTGCTGGATAAATAGGGTAAATCCTTACTTTCAACACCAGCAAATACTTACAGGTGCCTTGAGTCTAAGCTATTACAACCCTGACTCTTGTAACTAAACTTAATATATTTTCATAAATAGTTTTGAAAGTGAAGTGTTGTTCCTTTCAATTGCAGGCCTTCCTGTGTCAGTGCAGCATCTAAAGAGAACTCCTTCTCTCACAGCAGGCTTTGCAAGGCTTTTTGTACAGAAAGGCTAGCAACTTTATGTCTAAGTAGGTGCACAGATCTGGGATAAGAGGAACAGCTCTAATGCATCGATTGGAGAAGGCCTGTACTTTTGTTACTGTGAATTTATCCAAATAGAACTTTCCTTTTAAAGCTGGAGCAGCCCATACCTTTGTGTCTTTTCTTAGAAAGATGATAAGGCTGGGGATGGTGTCTAGGGGGACAACCTGCAATTGCCTCTTCAGTATGAGGCTCAGCTCATGTGTTTGCTACTAACTGATCAGGCACATCTCCCACGTGCAACTAGGAAACTTCAGTATTGGGGAGAAGAAGTTCCAATATGTAACAAGCAAAAACTGATAATTTTGCTTCGTGCTTCATTTCACAGTTGTCTCCTTGGAACTTCCATAACTGCCTTGTCGCTCACTGGATCAAAGGAAAGCTCTCAATTGCCCAGCTCAAATTTTGTCCTGTATGTTCTTGAACTGATAGCACCAAATCTGTACCATACGAATGTTAGTCAATGTAGCCTCCTGTTACAGCTGGCTACCAGAAGTTTCTTTTAACCCTAATAGTACGTTTGATTCTTATCAAATAAGATTTCAGGACTAGGAGAAGACACCTTGGAATTCAGTTTTACAGTATGGGGGAGAACAACTCTAACTACTTGAAGTGCGAATGCTAAGTAGCAAATATTTGGCAGTAATGAGAATTTCATTGTACTGGTCAGAGTATGTTATACGTCGTCACACCTGAATCTTTCAAAAGTAAAACCCACAATATGGTTTGTAAATTGCCTAACTTCCTGTTTGAAGAGATTTTGACACTTATCAATGCATCAGTTACTGTAACACCGAATACCGTCTACTGTTGGGGTTTTTTTTTCTAATTCAAACAGCTGACATTGTCATATGTTTGTTTCTGACTAATGTAAATTGACACTTGGAGTTCAGAGATAACATTATTTGAATAAAGATGCATATTTTTAGTAAGCTTTTTCTTTAATTGCGTATATGTCCACGAAATCCAAGCAAGTGCATCTGAAGCATTCTTTAGCCTCTATTTAGAGAGTTCGAATACTTTGAGATCCGGGTTCAGTCCTGCCTGACACTGGAGAACTAACAGCATTCAGAGGCTGGGGCTCTGCCTGTGTTGAAGGGGCAGATGTCTGGCAGTGGTTAGAAAGATACACTGAATCTAGAGTTCATTCTGCTCAGAGGAATTATATCCTCTGTGTTGTGGTCTAGTGCAAGAGTGGCTCTAACCTAAAACCAAGATTTGCTCTAAAGTTTGTGTTAAGAGTATCAGACTTGCCTTGAGGATCAGATGCTTAGAGTTAAATGTAAAGTAGGATGTCAACTTCTCAGTGTCTTAACAGCCAATCGAGTTCCTTGCTGGTTGCTTTGTTTTTGATTCCCCAAACTGCTGTCACCAGGATGCTCTGTCTCCTTGTTTGCTTTTTGATTTTTGCTTTGGGTTTGGGTTTTAACTGTTCTGCCCAGTAAACTGTGTCTGTTTATTGGGCACAGTAAACTCTGTGGTAAACTCCCACAGGAAGAGTAAGAATTCCCTCACTGACCATCGTTTTCTCCCACCCAGAAGCTGTGAGCACCCCACTGTTGTGAGCAGTGGATGTGAAGGTCAGTGAGATCAAAGCTTTGCTCTGGAGTTGTGATGCACCCTCTGTCTCTATCCACTATTTCTAGAAATGTGTGAGTGAGTTGACCAAGCACCTTCTCCCCTCACTTAGGTTTATCTGTCTTCTGCACTTGAGATCCACTGTGTTCTGAGCAGGATGGGGCAGGTTACATATTTTAGTCAGGCTGTAGTTTGGGCATTAGCCATTGCTTTTTTTCCAGGGACTTGCTCTTGGCCAAGCCCCTCTTATATTTAAGTCAGCCCTTTATCTTCACTTCTTCCTTTTAAATTAGGCTGCATAGCAGAGAGGGGCTCCTGTGGACTTGTTCTGGGTCATGGGGTTGCCCTACTGCTCAGCAGTCTGAGTGCTCCTCCAAAGACTCTCCTTGTCCTGAAAGAGATGCTGGATTAGGCCTGTTTGCAGGATTTACTTCTGAAGGGCTAGCAGAGTAGTTCTGTTGTGATTTGGAATTTGTGCTTCTGAGTGTACTCTATTTAAAAAAGTAAGTTTCTTGTTTAATCATTAATAATCCAGGATTGTTGAACGTCCTGCCTTTTTTTTGTTAACAGTAAGAGGTCTGCTTTAATTGGAGGCTCTAATACAGATTAAGGCTTTAGGCAAATGGGAATCCTCCCATCTCTCAGTGAATTTATGAGTGCTGGGAGAACCATTTAGATAATCAAAATTAGTGTTTCATTAAGGCATGTGCAGTTGGTCACAGTAGGATAAATGCTCAAAACCCAAACCCTGGAACTTTTGAGACCTATCAGGTCATTTTTCTTTCCTAAAATAGCCTGTAGTCTCGATAGCAGATTCTGAAAATCTTTACCTGAATAGACCTGGTGGGGCTACTGATGTGAATAAAAGGTTGAAAGAGGAAGACCTACAGAAGCAATCCACAAACAAAAGCTAGCGAGGGTGTATTATAGCATACAGAATCAGTGAGATTAATTTCTCCTTTACTGACAGTAAAGATTAAAGCCAGCAGGTATTCTGTGCAGCACCAAAGTGGTGACCTAGATGGAGACAGCCTCCACCTGGAGGAGTTGAAATAAATACTAAGGAGTGAAAAGTAGCAAGATGTGATTTGCTTTGTTTGCGATTGCTTCCTTGAAAATCAAGTAACCCTAGCAGTACTGCCCTATTCACATGTGAGGCAAACCAACCATACAAAAGGTGGATGAAGAAAAACCATTCCATGTACTTTCTGTCCAAGGTGATAAAATCTTAATGGATAAAAAGGGTCGGGGGTTTTGCTTAATGAGGAATTCTAGTGTATATCCAAAAGGGGTTTTGGCTCAGTAGCCCGAATTTCACTATGAGCATTTAGTCAGCCAGGCTTCTAATTCAGATCTGTTGTGTTCCAGGGAATGTTTTCATCTCTGAAAGTGAGAGTTTCGAGACTTAAGAAGTCAAAATGCTGTTTCACACTATGATTGATTGGTGTGTGTAAATTAGCTTAAGGTATTAATATAAAAAGTAGGTAGCTGCATCTAATGACTTTTTTGGAGTAATCTGAACCATCTGCCTCTAGATATTAAGGAGTTCACTCTTTAATCCAGATTATGGCTGACAAACTGGTTTTGGCATTCACGTTTCACTAGCATTGTGCCCTTGAAGAGCTGATGGGGCTGTAGAAACTCTCTTGCTTATAGTTACTGGTTTTGAGAACGTGTTCGGTTTGGTTTGGCTTTGTTGTAGTTGTTTGCTTATAGCTCCTTTTTCCTTGAAGATGGCTTTTCTAATGAAAAGTATGTTGAGCAACCAGGTAAAGAATTTGGGACTTGGAGGTGGAGGGGAAGAAAACAAAGAAGAAAGCACTCCTTCTGATCCAGCAGCAGCTGCAGGAATGACCAGAGAGGAGTATGAGGAATATCAAAAGCAAATGGTTGAGGAGAAGTGAGTACCTGTTCCCTTATTATCAGTATGGGGCTGATTGGTGGTAACTTTGTGCAGATAAAAATAACCCAAGAAAAAGCCAAACATTCGGTGTGCTTCCCTTTTCTTAAAGCAGATGAACCTTTGCTAAAGAGACTTTCCAAAATAAAACTTCACCAACTGGAAATGATAAATACTGTATGTGTCATCTGTCCGTCCGTGTCCCCTGTCGTCCCCCCCAACTCTCTCCTAGGCTTTCCTCCTATCTCCACACCTTGATAGGCTGGATTCATTCCTAGTTGATGTTACTTTACCTGTCATTTATCCATAGGAGCAAGCTGTTGTGCAGGAGTTAATTCTAAAATATGTATGATTTGTTCACCTAGAACTCGGTGTGGATACACTTTCAGTACTCAGTCTTTTATTTGTCCGCATCTATTATGGCAGATGTGGAACAAGCAGTGAGTGCTGCTTTAAATGGATGATATTTATCTAGATAAAAGATTTGAGATGATTTTTTTTTTGTAGCTGCATTTTTCAGTTTGGTTTTTCTTTTACGAACTACAAAATCAGCGCTTTTCAACTGATGAATCTCAATCTTTTGACTGTGACTACAATTTTTACCACTTGCTGTGTTTAAATATCAAACCAGAAGTAAAATAGAGGGACTTGACGGATAGGAGTTCAAATCATACATAATTATAAATAAAACGCTTGACTTTTAAATCTCAAATGCATCTGTTCCTGTAATGGTCAATTACATAATGGTCGTGTAAATCCTTCATGTAAGATGATTATAGGTGAAAGGTTAATGACTGACGGCATTGAGGTATCCAGGTCTGCATTTAGCAGCAGCCCTTTCTGTCATAAACCCCTGAATAGTATCATTTCCTTTGGAACAGAATACAGAATGTTTTGCTGTGCCTTTTGTCAAGGGGTATTTAAAAGGGAGAGAGCCTCCTGGCAGCAGGAAGATGCTTGATTGAAACTGAGAATCAAAACAGTATTCCTGGGATAGGGAAAACGCTTGGAAAAAGGATTACTTTTGTCAGGTTTTCAGGTGTGGCATGTGTGTTACACACTGACCTGTACTGAGGATTCGGTGCAGTACTTTGGAAAGTACAGTTTGGAACCATGGTAGGAACACAGGAAGTACTTTCAAAGAGGACAAAATCTGTGCACAAAAAGCGCAGATTGCTGTGTCTTAGGAAAATGTCCTGTGCAGAAACAAACGGGTGGCTTGTGCTGGCAGTGTCACATAGAATCTGCTTCCAGCATCACAAGAGTTTAAGCACGAGGTGACCTCCGGTTTGTGCTGTGCATCACAGCCTGTCACACAACTACTCTTACACCCGTTTCCTGTTCCTACACAGCTTCATGTTCCAGGGAGTGATTAGATCCTCTAGAACAAAAAGGCTTAAGATTAGGCCAGGCACTGGTGGGAGATTGGCTGACTGAGTTTTGCCAGGTCTTCCCATGATGCCAGAACAAGTGAAAAGCTCCAGTCTACCTGAGCAGAAAATCCCCTCCTGCCCCTCAGCCTCAAAGGACAGCCGAAGGGATGCGCAGTAGTGCTGCACACACACTGCCCTGTGGGAACATATCCCAGTACTGATTATGGCTGCTAATGGCTCCTCTGGAGGAGTGGGCAACATGGGAGGCAGGCTGAGAAACAGAGGGAAAACATGCCAGAGGGGCTCAAAACAATCTTCCTATCAGTGAGTGGCTGAAAGAAGTTTAAGATGGTTTCCAGTTAATTTATTCTTCTGAAACAATAAATGGATGCAGAAAAGAGCAGGAAAAGTCATGGATGACAGAGGCCATCCCAGGCTATTAAAAACAATGATGGAGAGACAATTTCCAGCTCCAGTACCCTACACCACTGATTTTTGGAAGCTGGGCAGTTTTGATGCTTTTGTTTCCATTACCGTCACCTGTGGAGATGGGACTCCAGGACAGATAAACTTTTGGTCTGACCCAGAAAGGCTATTCTGCCATTGTGTGTGTGGTGGTATACTGAGAATGTCCCGTTTGTAGAACAGGAGAATTGGCCGGCGGCTGCGTCCTCTGTAAGTGCCTCAGTGGAGTAAGCAAGGCATAAGCATAACTGCCCTGTTCTGCTTTTTGGAGTTGTTCATTGTTACAGCGAGCACTAACAGCTAGTACAGATAGAAATTCCAGACAAGCAGTTTATCCTTCCCAGTTGGTTTATCTTTCTTCTTCACAGGACTCAAGGGAAGTGTTCTGAGAACAAGCAGGAGAGTGGGAATTCTGGCCCCTTAGCATCACTTTATTGATATCAATAATTACTCCTTCTGTGCCTTTGGACAAGATCCGTAACTTTGGGAAAAACTCCTCTGTGTAGCTTTATGCAGCCAAGCAACTGGTTCAGTGTAAAAGACTTTATTTTAATGGTATCTTGAAACACTTTTTCTGACTTCCAGGATGGAAAGAGATGCAGCATTTGCACAGAAA